ATTAATCTGTGACATATTAACCGCTGGAAAGGAAATTAAAGTTTGCTTTTCCTGCACTCAAACAAGAAATGCCTGAATAATTGAGGAAGTTTGGGTGATAGAAAAACAAACATTTGAAGGCTGGGAGGCATGTGTGGTGAAAAAAAAATGTTTTGAAATATCTGGAATCTTCTCAGAATTGGGTGAATGATGGAATGATGCAGAGAAAACTATGATAAATGTAATGTTATAAAATCAACTAGTAACTAATGCTGCCTACTTACAGCAACACCAAAACAAGTGAAATTGTACGTTTAAACATTTACATTTCAGCAAGTTAAAAACCTGTGATTTTCAATAGTTTTTAATTGTTAATAAAATTCATCAACTCCTAGACTAGAAGCCACTGCATTTTAACAATATAGAAACACTTTTGGTGACTTCTGTTAAATTGGAATCTACAATGTATGTGAGATTTTAGTCACAGAACAAGTGCAAAGTATGCATGTCATGATTTGGATTGTAAATGTACTTATATTATTGAGTCAATTACATTTTTGACTTAGTTGGTGTTGATGAGGGTTATGAGCTCAGGATGTTGTAACTTTCCACTGGCAACTTCACTGAAAGCCAACATTTTCAAAGATATATTTAGAATATATCAGCTTGTTGTTGAGAAACTTACTGTTGGCACAGACTCTGCCAATTGTGTTAAATAACAGTTTTGGACACTTTTGGCACTTGATTCTATGTTTGTAGAATAGATGAAAGATTAAAAGTTGAAAACGATTATTTAACAAATGAAAGGGCAAAGGTGCATTTTCATGAGCATATTTTAAATTTGTTTTGTGTTTTTTTAAACTAAGTGTATTGTTTATATAAAATCATGAATATAAAGTGGAGATAAAAGGGACTGAAAACGTGCTCATGGAAAGGCGGCTCATTTGTGAAGATTGGAGCTTTTTTTTGGACATGTGGCCCCATTGACTTGCATGATTGTTACATGATATAACAAAAACAAAGACCTCTGTTTAAGCACAGACCTTTGTTTAAGGAAGCTTTAAAACATTGACCTGACAATTTTATGGCATGTGAAAGCAGAGGGATTTGGTTTTGTTCTAATAAAGGACAAAGGATTTGGGTATGTCATTTTAAAAATGTCAATGTTTACATAATAGTGAAAAACAACATCGTTTGTGTTTCTATTTCCGTGTGGTCTATAATTTAACCATTACATTCAGCCACTTGGGGAAGTAGATCGTCTTTGTTTAAATGTCATAAACAATCTTCTCTTGGTAAAAACTCTCTTGTTGTTGTTGTTGTTGTTTTTTAAATTTGGTACCTGGTACATAAAAAAAAAACTTTTCTGTGAAAGCTATTCCAATTTAAACAGAAAATCAGGATAAGTCATTGACTGAATATTGAGGAAAGTGTTATGAAAGATGACAATATTTGGTGTACTGTATTTAAACTGCCTTTCATTCCTTTTGTGATCAACAAAGTGCAGTTGCGTATTTCAATTTTTCTTTCCTCTAAAGTGAATTTAAATACTTGTCATGTTATTAAAACATTTTCTATTAAGAGAACCCACCAAGCCCATTAAAACATTTTCTATTAAGAGAACCCACCAAGCCCCCCCCCTCAAAATATGGTTGTGACAGAAATGTTTCCCAATTGTTTCTCTGTTTTTGGTTTAAACGGGCACTGAAACCTTGTAAAAATGCGCTCTTCATTTGATTATCATTAGAACCAACTTTAAAACCCTCCCATCTGAAATTACCATCGACAGAAGGAGAAAAAAATCATTACAACTCATCCTAATCAATCGAGCAGAAATTCACCAACTCATCTAAAACTTCAAAGTCTGGGAAAAATGCTGAACAGTTAAAAAAAAACACGTCTTAGATTTCTTGACAGCTATCTTGACAGTGTCAAGTTTCTTGCCTCCTTGCTTCCGTTATTAAATGAATCAAATATTATTAGATTTTTAAAGATTTCACCTTTCGGCAATATTTTTGGGAACTAGTAACTTCAATATAGCTGCTGAACGTTACATATTCTCCATGAGGCACTGGGGAAGGAAAAAGAAAAAAAGAGTTGGCAACAGGTTCGTTTCAAAATGTCTTGCTAAACTCTTCACGAGACAGACCATTCAGTATACTTCGGCAAAACACACGCCACTCTTCCTCAACGATTTCTCAAGGGCTACAAATGATTCCGCAATCACTATCCAAGCTGACTCGGGCAGGCAAGTGAACTTGTGTGATTTGGTGCACTGTAACGTGACACGGTAATTAAGCCTAGCTCACCCTGCCAAAGCAAACTCCTATCCTCCCAGAATCCCAAAGAAATCTGCCCGGATTCCGCTATGTCAATGGCACCGCCCCCAAAGGAAATACCATGTCCAGACTGGAAAACAATCAACAGTGTGATAGGGGAAACCAATCTATCCCCACGACCATCTTCAAATAGAACCAAGATGAGGATAATGGCTTGGAATCTATCTCATAATAACTTCCTACCTTGATTTGTGGACAGCTGTTTCCGCCATCATTCCTCACAAATTGATGCCATCCAAAAATCTAGACTGGCAATATAACCTGGGCTCGGCCAGGCAAAACCAAAAGCAAAAAAAATTAAGATAAAAAAAAGAAAAAACTTGATGAAAATTTGCAGCAACGGTAACTGTTGGAGAATGCTCACTGGAAGCAGGCCGCCGTATACTCAACTGGGGTCCACCATATATGGGAGATACTGACATGACTGCATAGTTCCTGATCAGTGCTTCAGGCTTGAGGAGGAGGAGGGGGGGGGGAGAAGGTTGACCCTGGATGTAATAAGGTCCAATGAAGATGCTGACAGACATCTACATGTATCTGTCTGGATGCAGATGAGTGGTAACAGCCACAGAGAAATAAAAAAAAAATGATTTGTGACTTGGAAGATCTTCAATGTTATCCCTCGGATATGAATGGCACACAAGGGTAAGGCTTGAATGCTCATGAGGATTTACTGCACACAATGTTCCAGTCAAACTCATCCTCAATCAAATATAAGTACTTCACTGTACTCATTCTCCATGCAGTCTCAAGCAGGGACTTTTCGTGAAAGCTTAGCCACAACTAGCCAGTGCAGTGGTCTAGTTCTGAAGGGAACCAGTGTGCAGAGGACCAGGCAGGAATAAGCTCGTTTACTCATCTTGTGCTGACCTACAACGCAATTACCAGGATCAAATCATTAGTCATGTGACTGATAAACAAAGGATGCTCAATTACATTGTTTATTACATTATAAATTTTAACTCCCCCCCAAAAAAAAATTTCCTCAGAAGCCCACATATTACTGCACTTTTGTGGGGACCAGCATTTCCCAAGTTTTTACCTATTAGAAAATCCTAAAAACAATTATAATGGTAAAATACAATGTAATTAAAACATGAGAGTTAAAAGTATGGGAATTTGTTGTTATACAGTGAATTTGGTACTGGATTCTACAAATGCAATTAATCGAGAGGAATCTTGTAGTATTTTTTTCTTTTAGGGGAATTCTAGTTGCTAAATAAACAGCAAACAAAGAAATTTAAGAGGGTTTTATTTTGTACCTCTGTCCCAACATATTTGTCCAAGACCAAACAAGTTTTAAAATTCCAAATGATAAGAACACTAACAACACTTTGTAGAAATAGTTGGGAATGTGCCAAGAGACAGTTAATGGAAGAAGTGGCATGATGAACCAAATGCAACGGTGTGAACGCAAACTTGTCATCAAACACTTGAGGTGTCAACTTACATCTGCTGAAGAGGTTAGGTAGTATTATTTTGCAATTACAAAAAAATGATGGGGCAGATTTATGGATGGATAATTTGTAAGCGCTGAGGTGGGGTCACCAAGATGTCACTACAGATTACTGACAGGTTTTTCTGCCCGTCACTTCCTTCTGATGCACTGACAAAATGCCAGGATAGAAAGAAAACAGTCTGAAGAGTACGTATTTCAAGGCAACTGGCATTTTGTCATTTCCCAGTTTCGTGAATAAAGGTCACGTTTTAATACCAGACTTGAATTTATCACAAATCTACATGTAAATTAGTTTGGACTTATTCATCAAGTTTGGCTGGCATGTGTAGCACCAAAGAGCGCCCTCAAGTTGATGTACAGAGCAAATAACCATTATGAGAGTCTGGATTATTTTAGGACCCCTCCCACAAAGATACGAACAATAAAATTGGAAACCAAACAAGAAACAGTTTGAAAGGATTATTAAAGGTAATAAACATTTGCTGTTGCTGTATTTTCAGAAATGGATGGATTTGGGGGTTTGTATTTTAAAGCAAATATTGTTACACTGACCTGTTTAAAGTTTTGTGTTCATAGATGCTGGAAAACCAAGAAAACAATGCTGTTCTTGTAGTTTGCTTCCCTGACCCTACTTCAGATGAAATAGAGCAATTGATAAAAGTCGGGGGAATTGTCAGGTCAGGAAACTAGTAGACTAGCTGGCTTGGACCCGTTCACGGATGTGTAACCGATTGCAAACAAAATGTGGACTAACTAAATTTAGGAAATTGAGGGTCAGGCGACCATCGTTGGAAATTGATACAAACATTGCACTTTTGTTGAAAATGACAGCACACCTGGTGCCATGATTTCGCAAGATGCTTGAGACTATTATTTGTTTACAGTCAAGTAATTTATTTCATAATAATTTGGTAATTTTTTGTTGTTGTTTGCAAATGCTGTGAATTACCTTTCAGAAAATGTGCTCATAATGTTCTTCACTTGTACTCTTTAACATAAAAATTGTTCTCATTGTGGACAATAAAATTTCTTGTCCACCGATGGAACTAGACAAATGGTGAAGAAGTTCACCAGAACCTGTTCAAGATGTTACTTTTTGGCATTTATGGTAACATTTATGGTAAATTTGTTGTTACATAGCCCTAAAAAAAAACCAGCATATTTCTGCCCGGTGCTCTCTACATAGTCTCAACAGAGGGCGCTATCTCAACAAGGTACTATACCTTCCAGTGCTGGTGCTAAGTTTTAAGCGCCTGCGGCTGAGATCCATAGAATCCGGCCGCATTCCTTTGGGATACAGTCGGCTTCCATTGCCTCTTTCCGGACTGCGCAAGATGACACCCACCGGACTGACGACTAGCTCCATCCTTTGGGGAAGTTCAGTCACTCCTTGACAATCATGGACAAACGGACGGTAGAGACAAGACTGAAGTATTCCAGCTTGGCAGTCTCGAATGAACAGTTTTTTTCGCTGTTCTTTTCTCTCCAAGGTAATTCAACTCCAACAAGTAGCGCTCAAACTGTTCGTTCATCAATAATTTTCCAGTAGAGCAAGTAACGTGGTAGCTCAGTGGCGAATTGAGTAAAATCTGTCTTATAACTCAAAGCTCATTCATTTTGCCATTTTCTAGACCGATGCATCATTCTGTAATATCTCTTGCTTTCCAAATCTTTTGATATAAATTTTTGTCAGTCCACTATTCAGACAAAGTTTGTTGACAATGATATTTGTCATCGTAGATAGCATGATTTTCCCCGGTGACAATCCATGAGCATTGCTGGTTCCCTCTTGTATAATCCACTTTGAGTATGGCAATATGCAGGGCACCAGTTATCGCCAGATCAACACGGACACAAATTCACATGGCCACAGGAGATTGCAAGTTTGGACACCAACATGTGTCTCATCAGCTGGAAGATGATTCCACAAGAGTCTCCTTGCCATGTGAATTTAAGCACTCAGTAGTTAAAAAAACTTTTTTTCCCAAAACGTGATAAAGGATCAGTGCGTCCAATAGCAAAATATCCAGTGTACCGAAGCTGCTTCCTGTGGTTACGGCCAGCCATCCAACTAACATCCATGATTGTTTCCACATGTATTACATCTACATACACAAATTTAATATCCATGTATGAATCCAACAACAAGAATAGACATGTATCTTGTACGACCACCTCTTTCGCTTTCGCAGAATGATCACCGATATACAGGCACACGTACTTTTTATGTATATTAGTACATGTATGATAGACAAGAGAAACTAGTAACAGGCTGAAATGTTTTCACAGGAAAAAGGAAATTCCTGTTTCTAGGTCACACCGACCACTCACGTGTCCACAGGGGAAGTGTTTACACATGTATACATACAAGCTAATTATAAATGTCTGGTGTAAAAAGAATTAAAATCAGTGCAGATTGGTCAAGAGAGCACATTAGCAATAGACATTGGAGACAAGTTATTTCCTGCTTTAATTAATTAAAGAATGTTTTCCACAAAACTGAAAAAAAAACCAACAATACAAAATGAAATTCAATGAATTGTGACATTAAAGTATAGTATCCACCATTACAATCACCTTACTTTAATTTCAAAATGGCCTACACAATCCCCAACATTTTCTGTGAAAATTAGAAACATTTTTGTATTTCCTCATGTGAGATCTATTAATTTTATCAGTTCCCCCATTTTCACCAGTAAATTTTCATTAATATGGTTCCCCCAGCAACACAAAACTCCATTTTTGGGGCAAGTTTAAATGAACTCCAGACACACTTTTACTGATTATAATGAATATTGATAATGTTTATGGCATCCCAATAGAGGACAAATAATCTATATACCGGTACCACACCATTCCACTTCCACCTCAGATGTTACCAACAACCATAAACTAAAAAACAGGAATCCTGGTGACCTGCTTCCCTCTAACAGACACTGTGGTGAAAGGAAACAGTTAACGTTCATGATATTACCCTCTAGGAAATGACACAGTAGGTGACTGGCTTCCTCAGTGCAGTTGTCACTTTAAACGTTGTAGAAAATTGTGACATGAGGCGTCCCAAGAATGGACCCAAAATGGTGAATGCAATGGCACTTACCACCCACATAAAATAAATTGACAGAAACTCTGCACATTATTGTCTGTCTTCACTTCAGAAAACAACTTTCATTGAAGCAAGATGGAAAAGATTAAGTCCCAAGTTTGTGAAGTGAATGAAACACAAGAACAACATCCAGCAAAATCTTGACACTTGGTTTTATTAGTATTTTAATAGATCCAGGACTGTTGGACACCACAAGATACAATAACTAATTTCAAATTATTGGTATCCTTTTTCAGCAGCGCTGAATTTTGAAGGACTCAAAGCAAAGCTTTCTACAGCCCCCCCCCCCCCAAAAAAAACCCCCAAAAAACCAAGGAGGTCTACTGGTTAGGGTCAATGTACTGAATAACTCGAGAAATCAGACACCAGCTGCATCTCTGACTAACTTTGCTCATGAAAGATGAGACTGATGCTGGTAACGTTATCTTAAAATGAAATCATTACTCTAGCATCAGCAACGATCCATCACACATGGGTACATGTATGGCATGTCTCCCTAGACTGCAGGACTTAATGTCTACTAAACATTGATACGATTTCATTACTCTATTAATCTGTTACTCTAGGCAAACTGTGGTTATAAACCCACATCCTATGAATCAGAATGTGGAAAAAGATGAGAATCCAGAGTTGGTTTTGTTGGCTTATATTCTAAACAATATCCTGTCCATTCAGAAGAGAGGGGAAAAACAATCTCCACCGTTGCCTGGGCAATAAAACTCAAATTATTGTAAAAATTGTGGGTCTGCTTACCACTTCCACCAAATGTTTAGGACAAGCTACTTTTTGGATTCATCTAGAGAAAAACAAACATGGATTGAACCTTACAGAAAAACAGTCTTGATTTCATAAACTATAAGAAACTACATACATTTAGGGATGCATGTAAGCCTACACTGAACATGTAATTGGAAATAGATAAAGAGACAAAATAATGTATGCTTACAAGATCAAATGAAGATGGCAACTAAACTCAATGGCTAATTATATGAAACATGAACTATGTAGTATCCCTTACGCAATGTGAAGCAACATCTAAAGCTACATGTAGGTACATACTTCATGCGCTTCAATTCACGTCATTATGTAACTTGTGAGTAAATGAACAATAACGCTCCTCACCTCAACAGACAGCATCCTTTATCTCACAAGTCCTTGACCCAGAAGTAGCCTTAAGTTCAAGGCATTTGATTCCTTCAATGCCAGGATATTCCCAGAATACCACTTCCAATTTTCCCTTCCCGTTTCCATATGTCTGACATTTCCATTTTAATATTTCTTGTTCTAGTCTTTTAGCCCAGGGGGACCTGAGACAGGGGAGGAACTCACAAGATTAATTGCCTTGCGAAACAAAAAAAAATGCGGTGCCATCACTAGGGCAAGATGTGGTTGATCTTAGGAGCTCAGTCGTGAAAGTAAATTCAGTTGATTCGCAGACATCTTGCAAACATAGCTTGGTCCAAGAGCGATGGTAACAAAAGCCACTCTCAAGTGGCACTTTTTGGTCAACCATCCGTGTTATTATGTCAGGGGAAAATGATCAATCTCTCAAGTCAAATACTCCATGCTGTACAAGGTGGTTGGATGTGAAGGGAGCATTGCTGCTGAGCGGAGATGAGCGCTACTCTCTGTTAATTGGATGGGTTCAATCAAGTGATTATCAAAACATGAATGACTCACCGCATTCCATCATTAGAAATCTTTCCTAGCACAGAATTTCTGCCTTTTTTCCCAAGCCTTGGATTGAGTAAGGTGTGTCCCTACATGTAACTACCCTGCCTGTAGGTTTATTTCTACTGCAAAGAAAATTTCTTAAACATGCCATGGAACATTGCCTCTAAATGTTTAATTTATATTTTGTTAGTTGCAAACAAACTATAATTTAATATCAAGGGACCACCAGACGGACTTTTGAAGCCACAAAAGGCATTGAGAGTTCCAATCTATAACCTGGCTCCAGCAACAAGATGAAACCAAACAAAGAGACAATGAATTCAGAAAGCCTGGAGATTGCCTCCTAAATTGTCCAGAATGAGCAAGGCAAGGAAACTTACACAATCAGTTCACACCACCCACACTATGTCCAGTGGGAATCTCTTCAACCCCAATACATCCAAAGCAGGCAGGAATGCCCCCTAGCCTCCTTGTTTAAAGCTAATCAAAATGCCCCCTGGCCCAGCCCTGAAAGGTCAGATGGAGCCTGTATGCACAAACACCTGTGAGCCTAGGGGGTTCCCCAAGTCAAGAATGAAGACTAAAACGATGGATTAGGAGGACAAGAGACAGTGTTGCCTGGAGACTCAGACAAGATGGAGAGTGAAAAGGAGGGATTGATTTTTTTTTTGTCCTCGCTCTCTGAATTGAAGAGATTGAGAATGTGTGTAAATGTTATAAGCAGAGTGCTGGATACAGGAAGAGAAAAAATGAGGCGAGTAATGTGGACAATAGGAGAGATTAGGAGACGTGGGATGGGGGAAAGGGGGATGATAAAAGGAGTAATATGGGAGGAGATGGATAGCGGACAAGATGCATATCATCATCAACATTCAGTGAGAATTATGTCACAACAATATTTATTGGATTTGAAGTACTGGTTTTGCATTAGTGCACAGCCACAATCATGAGTACACGTTTTGTTACAAAATGATTAAAAAATAAACTACACACTAAATAAAGTCCAATATCACACAAGTTTACTCTTCCAGCCATCAGGATACTGATTTAGTGTCAAGTGAAGAGAGTTTTGGAATTTTGGGAATGGTCATCGTCCACATGTACAGATGTACATGTAGCTCTAACAGACGGCTCCAACATGCAGAGCAAAATAATAGTTTGGTCCAGACTGTGACGAAATTATGAAATCACTCTTGTTCAGACACTTATGAACAACAGATCAACACTCTGTAAATCCTGTAACTGACAAAACAGCAAAGCTAAAGTCATCTTTTCAAAACATTTTAATTAAAATAAAGAGTTGTTATATAGGTAAAGGACAACATACGCAAAGTCTTGGGCTGAAAGGGTTCCCATTTGTAAACATTTGATTGACATGTTGAGATGGGTTGCTTGTTTGAAACATAGGTCTGGCAATCTAGACAATTTGGCTACTGTGAAAGTGGACTGAGGATAGAGAGAGAGAACGATGACAGATGAAGCTGGTGAGGGGGGCGATGAAAAGAGGAAGGGGTATGCGATTGACGTTGAGAGTAGAGGGTCAACGAACAGTCCGGATGCTGCACCAACAACAAATGAAGAAAATATCGGCCACGTCTGTCAACAAGGATGGGAAGACGCTGAGCGGCGCGTAATTGGCTCAATAGACATGGGACTTGACAATGACATACGCGATCAGAAGAAGACCGGGGAAGAAATCAATGCCAGCAGGGGGAACATCTTGCAAATAAGAATGGCGGAAGGAAAAACATGAAACTTCTTATCCAAGGTAATGAAGCACTACGCATACAGGTAATGAGACAATGCTTGGATGGCAGGCTGCCAATCAACTTAAGTACGGAAGTGAAAATTGATTTTTTTATTTCCCTAAAGCGTTTGGATTGGAGCCCTTTTTTTTAGTGAGGCATGCGAAAGAATTTCTGTAGAGCACAACACTAACGCCCCCGCAGGGTGAAAAATAGACAATGATGAGTCGGAAGGCCGGTGTGGGAAGTATTGTCACTATTGTGCAAGTGCCGTTTGGATGCTTGTGCTTGGAATTCTAATTGTCTCAAATTTTAAGAGCAGGTGCGTTTGCCCATCAAGTTTACAACTATTTATTTCATTCCCGGAGACCACAATATTAAAAAAAGGAGCCTCCACGTTGAGTCTGGAAAACATCAAATTGTCTGGAGATGAATGTTGATTGAAGTCAGAAATTTCTGATCAACATGAAACATGCTAAATGTTGTTGAGGTTGATATGTGATGAAGCAGGAACATGTGAGGCATCTGAAAAACACGCCGAGGTAATTGGTATGGAATCTTAGCGGGAATCAGCTAGTACAGAATGTTTACAGGTGTCTAACTGTACGGGCAATGGCCTCAATCAAATTCACATTCAAGGTGAGGGATTCAAGATGGAATAGTTATGGTAGAAAATGAGAGGAAAATGGTTTCCATTA